ATTTTCTTCCAAACACTGCTTGGTGTGCATGAAAAATTCATGTTCACTCTACAATGTAACTTCAATCCCCTCCTATTTTATTTTATTGCCAACAAATACTGGATGCTTGATATTTATTATGCTAAGATTTGTTTGCATCTTTGCCTTAAATCACATTACAAAACACTCAGTTTTAACTGTCACTAGGGGGTAGGAAGCACATGGCTGAGAAAGTAACAATGTTGCTTTTAGGACCAGGTTGTCTGGATTTGAATGCCAGTGTCACCTCTCCCAGTTGGCTAACCTTAGACACTGACCCAGCTACTCTGAATCGACTTTCTCCCCGACATGTAAATAGCAACAAGACTTAACCCAAGATGAAATGAAATAGTCTACATAAAGCATCTGGCACACGGCCAAAGTTCAATATTAGTTAATATGCCACATCTGTCTAATTATAGCTTTCTTCCTTGTGAATGACAAGGTGTGGGAGTACAGGAGGCTAGAACAAGGCAAGGGAGAAAAAAATTGAGCAAGTCCATTAGCACTAGGTATCTTTATCCAAATTGATAGCACTTTGAAAATACAGCATTAATTTTTCCAGTGGGTCAGGGTGGTAGATGTGAAAAGAACACAGAAGAAGACCCACTTTGAAGTAACAGTATTCCTTGTGTTTGTTTGTTTTTTTGAGACAGGGTCTCACAATGTAGTCGAGACTGACCTGGAACTCACTATGTAGTCCAGGCTGGTCTCGAACTCATAGCAATCCTCCTGCCTCATCCTCCCGAGTGATGGGATTACAGGCGTGCGACACCACACCCAGCTTCTTGTGTTTAAATAGATCTCTTCTTACAAAAAAAAAAAAATCAAACTTTTTGTTTTTTAAAAAAGTTACTCCAGAAAGCCAATTTGGGTATATCTGCTTTTAGGAACAGGCTTATAAATCTGTATGTGGTTTAAATTTTCCTCTGAGGAACAATGCAGCAAGTGAATATACTTACTTAAGGGTTTCTTTCTTCTTTGTTTAAGTTGTTAAGGAGACAAGGCCAATACTTGTTACATTCCAAATTAGACTTGGAACATGGATTTAGAAATGTAACTTGGACTCTGTCTGCTTGGGAGTGTTCAAAGAGACCGCTGGGGAGGGAAGAGGGGTTAGGTTGATGGGGGTGGAAATAGCAGGCTACTCCTCTCAGATGCTTCTAGACCTGCAAATCTTCAGAAGATATTTTAATGCATGTCATGAAACACTTCTCAAGCCAGTGCTTGCATTTAATATTGCCTTAGTGATTTGACCTATAGAAAGTAGCTTGAGAATTGTAAAATGATGATTTTAAGCCAGTTTTATTTTAACATTCCATTTCCCCTAAGGTCATACTTCAGCAGTCTAGAGAGATGATGAGATTTTTCTGGAAATCTGTTTCCCCATCTCTACCATATGGATATCTAGAAATGTATTTGCACAAAAAACATAAACTGCATAAACTGCAAAAAACATCCAGATAAACTAAAGAAGGCTAGCCTGTTCCTATTTGTAGACATTCTGCTAGTAGAGAAATAGGAGGAAGTCACAGAATGCTTTTGCCTTTGGAATGAAAGATCATGGTTGAAGAAATAGTACTGTGAATATAGCACAAAACATTGTTATCCTGAGGGGGCTTTCTGAATGGAAATTGGATACAAGACTTTAAACCTGAAAGGCAAAAACAGAACAAAACAAAAAAAAGCAAAACAAAACAAAACAAAATCCTTCAGGAATTTACCTTTAGCTAGGAGATCAGACTTGCACTTACAAGGCCTTGCAAGCTGGGAACACATAGTTTTCTTGCAAAGTACTGGGCTTCAGATTCTCAAAGGGGATAAGGAGGCTGTGGAATTTTCCTTGGCATGGAGAAGGGGTGAAGGCACAATAGCATAAGTAGTTACTGATGGACTTGTGCTGTGGAACTTCCAATAAAACAGTTTAAGAGCCAGCTTCTCTGATTATGGTCCTGGAACCCTTAACTCCTATGGCCAATGTGATCTGGAAGACATGGGGACATACAAGAATATGTTTTTTTAAAAATATATATATATATATATTTTTGGTGCATTTTAGGTATACAATGCAGTTACATTCATCCTTGGGATTTTGTACCTTTACATGACTTATCTAGGTTCTTATTTTTTCCCCATTCCCTTAGCCTCCTTTCCTTCACCCCTTCACCCTTCCCTATTTACAAACACTTTGTTTCCATTTTTTTCCTTTTCTCTTATTTTTTCTTTTCCCTTCCTATCTTTCCCCTACTACTCCCACCTCCCCTACACCTTTAGACCTTTTCTTCTTATTGCACAAGATCAATTATACATTTTGACCCTTATTTACACTTTTAGTTTATCACACCAGGGAAACTAGTTGGTATTTACGTGTGCCCTATTAATTTCACTTAAAAGTATGTCCTCAATATTCATCCACTTAGCTACAAATGAATATGTTGATTAGAATACTATATGACCTTTGAATCCACTCTGGGCATGAAGTAATCCAGATACGTGCTAGAATTGGGAAATCAAAGGGCCTGGGTTTTATAAAGCTCAGTGGTTCCGCTGACTACCTCATAAGCGCAAGGTTCTGAGTTTGATAACCAGTACTCAACCCCCAAAAAAGAATTGGGAAATTAGAAAAAGAATATTTATTTTCTTAATATACCTAAGAGTGCTGAACTTTGTGCTAGGCATGTTAGGAAATAATGAACAAATTGCATATATTCTCTCTGTATGTAGATTTGATGACAGGTAATTATTATGGAAATGTATTAATTTTGTTCTCATCTCTCATTACAGGAATTCTCCACAGTTTTCTAGTTTGCCTGACCCATTTTCTCTCTCCATCCTGAGCATACATATTCACAAATAAATGTTATCACACTTGAACTTGTCAATTTACTATTAAAACTGGACAGGAATGTATCAGACATGCTATCAAAAGTATTCTTTTCTGACCCATTCTTGATAAAAGACACACTCCCACTTAAATTTTCTTAGCTCCCAGGCCCCTAAACTAGTGCTACCTTTTAACTTATTGTGTATTTAGTTTTGTCAAAGCTAGCACTCTGTCTTTGATGAAATATCATCTCAGACTGGTGCTTTAGCTTTATCTTTAAAAGACCATTCCATCAATCTATCCACTTGGCAGATTCTAGGTGGCATGTTTACGGTGGTTGCAGTGGATTCTTTGTGCTTACAGTTGCAGCCCTGGATGTAAAACTGTCTAGATCTAGAGTGAACCTCTGTCTTGTCCTGTGTCACTGGATCAAACACTGCAGGCTTTCTGATAATGGTGCTAATTGGGGCATGGGAGCAAGAAAATCAAACTCATTCATGTAATATGTTATTATTCCAGTCAGAGTGACTCTCGGGCCTTTGCAGCGTCAAAGAGGACCAACAGCATCAATTTGCTAAGCAGCTGATTTATTGTTACTGGCCTAGTACCATGCTGGGGGTCAGTGTTTATCTGTAATTTCTGATAGTTTGGATCTTTGGGGTAGCAAAAATTCAGGTCAGCCTTATATGTGGGAGTCTATGCGTTTCACAGCATTATTCTCTGAAATCATGGATACTCTATGTACATATTCCTTGTGCTAGGATGGGATGACTTGTGACAGACTGGCTGGCACCAGCTACTCATTCATTTTGTCTACTTGGTGGTGTTTAGTGCTTCTTCTGTGATGATGAATGCTCTGAGAAGAGTATTATCTTGCAATACACAAGCCTTCCTACCTGGTATCCTCTCCCATACACACCTCTTCTCAGCCTTCTTTCTAACTGTATTGGACCTCCTGGTAGATTTTTGAGCAGCAAACAAGCATATAAGCAAGCCTGCATACAAGTCTGTGTATGCTTATAGGTCACCTTTCATTCCCTATAGAATCTACATATTATTTACTGTCTTCATAGATCTCTGAAGTTCAGGCTCCCCTACTTGCCACTGGACCTTGAAATTTATTATTATCATTTTATTCACTTGCTTTTGGCTGTTAAGCACCTCCAACTGGCTTCCATTATTTCAACCCATTGTCATCCTTATTGCTGTCAGAAGCACAGTTCCATTAACAGTATCCCACACCATCTGCACTATGAAAAGGCCACACCTCCAAGCTTCTCAATGAGGTGTTTCCTCTGGGTCCTCCCACTGTTCATAGTCAGCTTATGGGGCTTCTACTATTATATAGTCTACTTTCTTTAGGTACCCTTCTTTTCTGAGCCTTTGACTCCAGTAGAATTAGTACAGCAAGGCAAATTCTTCTGCATTATCTTCAAAGGGTCCCAGAAGTCTGAAGTGCTACAGAGGAAAGAGTAGGCCTAGAGGGTGCAGAATGACCCTCTAGGTTTCAAAGTTCTTGAGTGCATTGAACCAGAGATCCTATTCCAAATTTCACCCTCCTCTGCCTTTTTAATTAAGCCTTTCTGGATTCATCATTTAATAATCTCTGGAGCCCTGAGTCTGGTCCTCAGTTTTATCTGTCATCTATCTATAGAGATGACAATCTTTTAAAACATAATACCTAAGCCTGTATCATTTTTCCAATTTACCTTACATTAGTCACTAAGCCCTCTGGTGGTTTTAAATATATCAGCAAATGTTTATGTACCAGTAGCCTTAGTGACTGACTTCTAACAGAATATTATTGAATTGATGCTGTGGGACTCCACGTAATAAAAGGTAATGCAACTTCACCAGGGTACTTTTTCATTGTTTGGACCCCTTCTCTAGGATCCCAGTTACCAAGATGTGAGAAAGTCAAGCAGCCACTGTCTAGGTGACAGCTAATGTCAATCACCAGACTCGGGAGTGAATGAAATTTCATGTGGTTCCAGACTCTATCATTTCAGCCACTCCATCTGGCTCTCAGTGGAAAAGGGATGAGCTGTTGTCACTGGGCCCCACCTAACTGCAGATTTGTGAACAGAATCAATGTTGTCATTGTTGTCCATAAGCTATGAGTTAGTTTATTACAGTGTAATAGTCAGAACAGCTGGTCTTAACTTTCCATCTTTTCCTGAGTTTGCATGTCATCCTTGCTCAGGGGCCATGCTAATCTCTGTATTATATTGTTACATTTTTAGTATATGTGCTGCTAGAGCAAGCACTTTCAGTCCTTTCTCAAATGTGCTGATAACATTTAGTAACCAACATCCAGTTTTACAGTTTTTATAATTCGTACTTCCCTAGTACCTTCTGAATCCACAAGATATATGATGAGCTGGTACCTCCCATTTCAGTGATTCCACTTTCAGTGATGCATTGGCAAAAGCCCTAACAACTGCAGAGCTACAGCAGACAGCATGCCGAGGGCCATGAGGGGGTCCTCCAGGTCAACTGGCCAGGGGATGATGCACTCTGTAATTCCACTTTAAATTCTGTTTCAAAGCATCACTTTGTCATCTTTGATCACAGGTCCCTGGAGATGGGCATTGTCAGATGAAAATTTGTCTACAGGAAGTATATTGGGAGTTGTACTCAGAAATAATGTATATTCTGAAAAGACAGTATCAAAATTGGATAGAAATACAAGATGAATTATGATAGATTCAAATTAAGACTCAGCAAATAGCATAGAATATGCTGCAGTTGGGATGGCCATTTAGAATTGTCTCAAAATTAGAACAGAAGACGAGGCTTTTCACTCTTGTGTCCACCTAGGCAGAATGCATAACTTTGGGGGAGGCATTGCTCAGATTACAATCCCAGACTGGGGTACTGTAGTAGCATCTTAGAGAACCTAACACTTTTGGGATCAAGTGAGTAATTCACAGAATAAATACTGTAGGAAGGACCTAGGTGCTACAATACAACATTTACTACAAGGACTGTGTCACCTGGTCAGCAATGGTCATGGGACTGGAATCATGACAACAGGAAGGTAAGGAATTTTTAGGACTGGATGAAAGGAGTTAGTGCATAGTTGTGCATTCTTTACATTGTCAGTTCATTCCAGATCATGGAACCCCATGCAGCTAAATAAAACAGAGATCAAACAAATATATTTCATTTATGTCAGGCAACGGATACCCGTGCACATATGTATGTACTCATTGCTTTGAATTATTCAGTCTCCTGTTCTGGTGATGCACAGTTACTCTGTGCTCAAGGATCATTTATCATATCACTTTTAGAATCAATTCCTTCAGGGAATTTCCTTTAATATCTTTATTTTCTTTCCTTTAGTTCAGCAATAACCCATTCATTCCTTTTCAACCTACCCCCGATGTCCCAAATATTTTAACATTGCCTTAATGTATTTATCTTGGGTCAGTTTCCAATCTTGCTTGATTCATCTCCTCGTGCTTTAAGGAAAAATTTTCTTTGATACCAATAGCAAACTAATATCTTGAAAGGCGACATGTTACTTAAGAGGATAAGAACACACTTGGCTAGATCCCTCAGTCAGGCTGTAACGTCTTTCATTCTTTTAAACCTACCCTCAAAGGGTTTCTTTAGACTCTATATAGATGTTTCCCTTTTCTATAGAGGGAGAATGTTTTTCTGCTTCTCTAAAAAGTTATTCTCATCACTAAATTATAACGTTTCATGTCCCCAAATATCTGCAATAAATATATTTGCTCAAAGACAATCTTCTATCATAATCACTTCAAATTTAAAGAGAAAGTACATACTAGGCTCTTTTGCCTGTGTTTAAAATACCTGATCTTTACCCCTTTTATTTTTAGCAAAGTTCTTCTTATCCTTTAATAGTTTGGTCAAATAATTCCACCTCTTGTAAACTCTTACAAGACTGTCTTAAACTGTGAATTATGGCTGTCACTGAAGATTTATCCCTAATGCACTAGCATGATATTATTTGCACACTATCTTTCTATGGAAAGAGTTAAATGCTAAATAAAGTAATATAGTGCCTAAAAGGAAAGAAAAAGATATTGGATAAGTAAGTGAAATCCAAGAGTACTACTTGTAGCAAATAAAACGCATGGATCAATATTCATAATAGATAAGTAGTTATTAAAATTTATTGAGAAAAGCACCAATCTTCCAAAAGTGGCAAAGGTTACATTTTGGTCCCTCATAAAATACAAACTATGGTTCCATATGTGGTGGAATTAGTGGGGTATTTAAAATTTCTTCTATATCTACAAATGTAATCTACAAATCTTCTGTATTTTACAAATCATGTGAAGATCACTTTGGTAAGATTGGGGATGAACTTGAGGAGAGTTGGAAGAATTAGTGAGTCATACATATCATGAGGTATAAAATGCCAAAAAGAGCCCACGGCTTCTGAGTGAACAAAGAGAACCAAAGTCAAGAGTATTTAAAAAGGAAGCAAGACACAGTGATGAACAATATTCTGAAATTGCATATATGGATTTGGAATTTGGGAAAAGATTATGGATTTATCAGTGCTGTTGCTTCTTTAATCATCTTACAATGTTCTGTCTACATAGGAGACACGTCAAGATTCCAGGTCTTTCTCAGGACTCTGAGAGTTAAGCGATCGAAAAAGCACACAGCAGATATGATTAGATCAGTGTTCCCCATCCCATGAGATGTTTAGAGATGTTACAAGATGAATGCCTTCCCTGTACAGAAAATTTGGAAAACACTACATTAACAAGTTTAAGTAGATGCATTTAGGTTATAGAGATTCTCAGAGCATTTAATACACTGAAGTGCTTTATGAATCAATAACAACAACATATAATGTGCAGTGTGTATTTCCCAAAATTGTTTGACAACGAGCCACTTTACTCTGGGACAAAAGTTCTATGGTACCAAACGAAATGAAGACTAAATGTTTGTAAAATATTTTAAATACAAAATGTACTTTGAGACTAAAAGCAAAAGACATAAAAGAAAAAGGGAAGAAGAATGGATGGGATAGAAGACGGTAGGGAGGAGGGAGAGGAGGGGAGGGACGAAGGATTCTTTACTGTAGTATTTATGGTAATAAAAAATTTACCAGGATTTATGTCAAGATGGGTAACAAGGTCAGTGATAAAGCATAAAAGCACAGACAAAAGAATAGTTAATAGTCCATTAAAGAAAAGAATGAGGTGGCTTCCCCCACGGAATTGTTCTAACATCTGAAAAGAATTTCCTTGCGGAGGGTGGATGAATCATCATGCTGTCCCATTCATTAATCTTTGGGGTCAGTGTGTAGCAATTTTTCTCTTTATAAACTAATAAATTAACATCTACTTACACTGCAGAATGAAATACCCTGCATGACTGAGTCACTTGACTGATGAACTCTGGAGAACTAAAAACTGATTTCCTGGACTTGCAAAATGAAGGAACAAATAAGCATAGTCAGTATTCCAAGCTTTTTCATTATGATATCCCCACTTTGTGGAGAGGTGACAGACACATAGTTGGTACTGGGGAAACACAACTTTTCATTTACCATGGGAGACAGTAGCCATAACCAAATTAGTCTTTGCTTTTCAAGTCCTGTGACAAAGGACCCAGTGATAGATAAGCCGTGAAGCACACAATCTGGCCATTTCTTTCACAGTATTTCACGGTATTGTTTCATTTCTTTCATAGTATTTCTTGTCTGTGTCTAGGCAGACTGTGCGTCTATGTCTGCATCACCAAGTCCTGGTGCAGGTTCCAAATAAATATTGAAGCTGTGCTTTAATGTTAAATTTATCTTTGATTCGCTTTCTAGTATTTTTCATTTTCTCAACAAATAACTACAGCCAACTATAGGAAGCTGTATTAGAAGTATTAGAATGGCTTTTAATTTAGCCATTGTCTCCAGAATAGACAATGGATGTGTTATTTTTTCATTCTTGCTGTAATCCTTGTAATAAGAGTGGATCGCTATATTTCTATTTAGCATTCTCTTTGTATTCTCTGTCATGAGGAGAAATCGTGATTTTTTTTTTTTCAAAATGGAACATAAACAGTCACACTTACTAGGCCTATAAACAGGACTATTTCACTTGGTAATGTTTCCTGTCTTGAGTGGCTGTCCATTCCATCCCATCCCCATTCAAGGAGAATGGAGGGAGAAGAGAGCTAGGTGGCTTGGGAATGGACAATGTATTAAATATTAAAAAGCTGAGGTCAATGCATTATAGTTTCTTACCATCATATATTACAGAATAGAGCCATTAAAATTCCAATACTGGACAATATTATTTTGATAAAGGTTGTAATGAGAATGAGCAACAGCAACAAATGAATCTGTTCTAGTGGCACCAGTGATAACATGGGCAAGGAAAGGAATAAGCAAAGCCCGTTCCTCTTTTAACATTAAAATAAGAATCTCACACTTTGCTCTGAAACCCGAGACTCTAGCTACGCATCATAAAGCATAAAAATAATATCAGGATAAAAAAGTCTTATATTTTAGTGGACAATGGGAGATCATTAATCATTCTTAACACCACATCAAGATAACCATTCCTAACCCGGTTTTGCTCAAGTTTCAATGTGTGCCTCTGCGGTTGCTTTTGTTTGTGATGTAATAGCAGTAAGAATTTGTGCTGTGTCTGCTACAGCTGTTAAGATTTCAATGCAGCATTGACATCAGCAGCCCAGTTCTGTATTCTTTAATGGTACAATCCTTGCAATGCTTTCTGAAGTCAGTTTCCTCATTTGCAAAATGAAATAAAAATGATACCTACTGTGAATGATCGCTTTAAAATTAAATAGAGAGATTGGCTAGCGGTTGCTGGGCTTTTTAGATCTCCAGAGGCGCAGACACCCAGGGCTGTGCTGCTAGTGTTAACTCGGGAATGATGATCAGAAAGCATGGGGATCCAGGAGAACCAGCAGCAAAATTAGCAACCTCCTAGAGGAGCTTGGGAAGAGAATGAGTGATACTCAGCCCAAAATGGAAGTGTGTCCTTATTGTAAGAAGTCATTTAAATGATTAAAATCCCACTTGCCATACTGTATGATGATAGGAATAACCATTCCTACTGATCAAATAATCTCTCAGTAAAAGCCATCTTGCCCATCCACATGCCAGAAAAGTAAAGGAGCTGATCAGAGACTTAACTGAAACCGAACGGAAAGAGTTTAAGACAAAGAGTGATGAAAGAAATGCTAAATTGAGACAAGACAAACCAGGACAAACAATTGCTTCCTGTCCACAACTAGCTGTTGGTTTGGAAAGAGC